AATGCCAGGATCAAAAGGAAACAGTTAAATCATTAGCAAAGAAGTGAACTTCTAATTTTGAATGGAACAACTATGTGTTTTAGAATACTGAATTTTGTATAGATACCAAATATTCTGATGGGTTTCTTTTATTTTTACCTAAACTAGTGCAATTACTCCTCAGTAAACATCTCATAAAATGAGGTCACAGGCATACACGCAGAAAGAATCCATTTGATCAGTGCTATTAATTGCACGGGATCACAATAAAATACTATATAATTAATGAGGGAATAATTTAAAGCTGCCACGGGAAGAAATTCATTTAAATTTGAATTCTGGGGAGAATTCAGTAGTTTGATTGAAAACTACAGTCCAAAACCAATAAACTAAATTCCTTTCATGTAGTATTTAAGTGTCAAGGAAGCAATGAATTCTGAAGTAAAAAATTAGCACCTTCTGAATACAAGCAAGACTCATTTGTATTTATTTCCCAGCAGTGCAATTTCACTCAGAGAATCAAGTTATGACAGGTTTAATAGAAGCCCCACAGTTGGGAAGTTGCAGTGGTCTAGTTCTTTTCTGAGACACGTTATGTTTTGGCTCTATCATCTGTCAAGCTCTATCACTTCACTGACCAGCTTAAACGATAAACGTGGGCCAAATTATTAAAAATATGCCAAATAGCCTGCAAAAACACATCCAATACCTGATTTTTTGGCTGTAGTTTGCACTCCTCCAGCGCCAGGACTCCCAGGAGAGCCAGTTTTCTTGCTCAAGAGACTGTTAAAGAAACTAGCCAAGACACCTTCACTTGCAGCATTATCTAAATAAACAAATAAAGCACAAACAGGTGTTAGCGGTGAATCATAGAACTTATTTTTTCTATACCTATGCAACTATCTCACCAACCAAGGAGATAAACCTCAACTATTGGACAGTCTCCCCCTTACTCAGTCCCTCTTTTAAGACATTAGTCCTTTGCATTGCTCAAAAGTCAGAGATGACTGAAAGCCCATTACTGGTCTTCTGGGATGGGGGACATAATTTCATTCTAAACGTTTTTGTTTTTTCTAAACGTAGAAGCCAAGAAATGAAAGTATGAATGCACAATGTGCAATTAAAAGAGTTATAATTTATATGATTGTTATAAAATAAACTGTTAGAGAAGTTTTAAAGCTGCCTTCCATGTCACACTACTTTTCATTAGTCAGAACTTGAATATACAGAAATGAGAAGAGACCTAGAATTGCATGAGTATTTCAATCCATGTTAAGCGAAGAACAATACTAAATACACAGTTAAAATCAGTATTGGTCCTACCTAGTTTCTTAATGGACAGACAGGAAAGAAACCCGTCAACAATGTGGAGCTACATCTTAGGGGTCTGGGGGAGGCAGGTGTTAAGTTCCCAGTTATTTTAGGTACTATAGGAAATGACATTCTGGAAGAGGGTTTAAAAAAAGAGGAACAGGTTTCACTGTGGATTCCCGAATTAGTGATATAAATTCTAAATTTACATGTCGTTTAATGTCCACTCTAATAATCCAACTTACACGTAATAAATGTGTTTAGGCAACTTCGGGAATTAATCTGCCTGCTTGGCAATAGCAAAAAAATCAAGTCTACAGCTAAAGATTCATGGCATCAATTCACTTCTGTTATTAAACTAATTAGTGAATACATTCTAGAATTTTTTTTTTTTATAAAAGGAATTTCAAAGGAAAACAAGACATGATAAAAATACTAAAACGCTAATTCATACTTTTAATATTTGGATCCGGTTTCTTAACTGATGTTATTGGTGAGGCACTGGGTACATTGGTGGGACCAGCTCTGCCTTGAGTTCTTGGGGATCCTGCAGGTCCTCTGGCGGGAGATTCCTTAAACAAAACAGTCCAAATCACACAAGTCAGCAAGGAATTTAAATGAATTAGTTACATAAAGTAAGCGTAACATTAAATACCAATTGCTTTTTTAACCTTTATATTGGTATTGTAGTATAAACTCACACTGGGAAAAGGCAAAAAAAAATTTAACACAAGTTGAATTTGGGCATATGCTGCTAGACTAAGTGAGAAGATAAATTACTATAGCAGATTTTTAGCTCAATAATCAGCTACTTCTATGTTTCCACAGCGATTTCTAAGCAATGTTTTAAAATACCGCCATATAATGTTGAGTTTTCTGTGGTCTGGGCAAATTATGTATTTTACATTTAGATTTACAAAAGGAATCTCTAGAAATTAGAGTAATTCACGGTTCATCAGAATCATGCCTTTAATTTAGGAAAGAGATGGGTCTTTTTCAATAAGCAAACAAAACACCTCCTACTCTTCTCTGGAATCTACTTACTGATGCTCTTGTAGGCGTTGCTGGCTGCTTGGCAAGGAATGACTGCAAAACAACATATTAAGGACTTTAAATATATTCCGGAGAAACTAAAGGAACAAAATACAGTGAAGCTAACCGACCATTAATTTATTTGATCGTTTATTTTCTGATATTTATAGACTTTGTCTCTGATATTTATAGATATCCGGACTTTACCATTAGAGGACCGAGTTAAAATGAATAAAGAAGCTTCAGTCCTTTGTCTTACACAGACCTTCCAGAACCATAAACCAGAACCACAGACACCCAAGTCTGTATCCTCTATGATATTTATAATCAACTACATAGGAAATTACTGTTAATTTTAACAATAGAGCAGTAAAGAAAGTAGCAAGATTTAACACTGCCAAATTTAACACCTCAAAGCCTTCAATGCCTCTGGCCATTAGAAAACTGCAGCACTGAGATGTTTTATCTTACAGAACGACACAGCTGTGCTGCAAAATTTCAAATGCTCTGTTTGCTCTTCTGCTTTGAAATGTAAACGCCTTCTGTTTTCAACACTTTTTTCCCTTCCACATGTCAAGATGAAGCCATATTTTCTACTCTTAAGCATTAAAATAAAAAAAGTCTTTTTTCACTATTACATCTTAATTTGCAAAACCGTACAGTGAAGCAAATGAGGACTGGCAAACTGAGAGCAATAACAACGGAGAGCTTAAAGTGAGATCTTGTTTAGTAAGGGCTTTGTTTCATTCTTCCATTCTTACCTGTTGCTTCATAAGAAATACTTGTTCATCTTCTGCTGCCAACTCTTTATCATGGACTAACTGTTGAACAACACATTTTCTCATTAGAAATAGAAACCAAAATTACTCTTTTTATGATTCGGTCATCAAAAGGGAAGAAAGAGGCAACCGTTTTAACACCGTTCCTTACATTAGTATTAGCAGCCCTTCAAGCAAACTGTATTGTGGTGTAGGGTGGGAAAGGGCAGGGAATGGCAGTGGATGACAGATGACCCCATACCTTTCTTACAGGAGGTTTTACAATGAAGTCCTCATACGCATCTTCCGGTTTCACTGTGGTGAAGTTTTCATGTAAAATGGCAATTTTCTTTTCATTGTCCCAACCAGCAGGTCTATAAACCAATTTGAAAGAAAGTTTTTGCCTTTTCAGTCACAAAAAATACTTCTACAGAGACCGATTATTTACTGCCCTCTACCGGAACAAGGTGAGTTCATTAAATGCCGATCCTTACTCTCAGCTACGTTTCAAAGATACTAAAAAGCTGGTAGGGTATATTCTGCGTCAAGTAACCCAAGTAACATGCACTGAACTGTTTTTTAATCCAGGATTTCAGAAGACTCATATAGCAAGCTTTTGAAAGACACAAACCATTCAAGGACAATTTTTTCTTTTCAGAACCAAACAACATGCTCTAGATGGTTTGCACCTTTTTCTAACAGATGGAAGTTGAGTTTGTTACAGTATTTCACATTCCGTTTCCAGCTTAAGAATATTATGCACTAAAATAATAATACATTGAAGTAATAACTTCATTACGTTCATATGGAGCGCAGTGCTTTAATGGAAAATAGTTTGAAAGCATATCTTTTACATAATTGACTTACATAAAAACTGCATCCTTTTCTACCACTAAGGCAGGTGTGGTAAACTGAAAACCGTATGTTTTATGTACAATGTACTTATACAACAGGTCAAGGTTCTTTTCCTCCTTAACTGATGTATATATCAAGGCAGCTCCATCTGATTATTCGTTTAAGGAAAACTATAAAAGATGCATTTCTCCAAATGATAGTAAAAATTTCAAAAAAGGAGCTAAAGGTCACATATCTAACCGCTATAGGGAAGGGAAACAACGGGAGAAGACTCAGGCTACTTTCATTTGACATACATAAAAAGTTACCTACCCTCCCAGGTACATAATCCCCTTAATCCTGTCTGGGTTTAAAGTGAAAACAGCAAGTTTTGGGGTTAAAAAACAAACCAACCAACCAACCAACCACCCACGCACCCTTAAGAAATACAAGACAAGTCCTTTGTAAAGGAACAAAAGCTCAAAATCCCATGCATGATTTAAAAATTAAAAGAAGTTTTACATATCTCGAAACGTTTAAAAAACTACAAATGCGATACAGCAAATTACTAAATACCAAGAAATTCTGAAGTACGTTTTCTCAGGTTAACTCTATAGGCAACTAGTTCTACACTAAAACATATTCCCCTGCTTCCATATTTCAGCCAACTCTTCAGAGTAGGAAAGGATACACTGTAAGCAGAATCTACGAATGTGTGACTGAATGAAGTCAAAGTGTTCTTCTCGGTAATCATGCTCCTTCTCTAGTACACTCACTGCATCACACTGGGATGGAGAAAGACAAAACCAAGAACAAGCCAGCCATTTCATCCCAGCACATCTCAACATATTTTCCTTAATATCACACACACTTACCACATTTACTTTAAGCCTTTGATTTTTAAAAGGCCACCAATAAATCAAAATATAAAGTAATTAGCATATAACAAGAGGATTATTACCCGTCTTCAAAATTAAAAACTGACATTGATGGTAGAAGCCTACTTTTAAAAGAAATCCCTTTATTATCAATCCAGATTTCTGTCCTGCAGTTGTCCGGATAAAGCATGTCTTCTAAAAGTAAAGTAATTACATTTTTCCATAATAGTGAACAGAACTAGAAGCTCACTTTTGTACAAACTACCAGCACAGGAATACCAAGATTGTGAGTCAGCACATTTTCTCCAAGTGGCAAAGAAACACTTTCATCCTCTTGGCCAGAAGAAGGGCCTCTTCTCTGCGGTGATCCCTGGTAGCCTTCTTCAGGTTCTACATACTCTTGAAACTCTTTTATAACTATGAAGAGAGAGATCTTCATAAGGCAAAACAAACAAATTCATTTTTCTTTTTAAATTAGAATTAATTTGAATTAAAATAATTATATCTATGACTGACTAGAAATCTCTATCTATTCTTTTTAAATGAGACACTACATGAGAACAGAATTCATATTTAAATAAAAGGCATCCTTGGCTGCCCTTTCAAATATAACAATTCTCCTCATCCATAACTTACATTAAGCTAAATCAAGTGCAATTCAGAGCTATTACAAAACACAAAAACTAGCCGCAAAAACTGTACTATATACAAAATATACACTCCTCAATTCAACGTATTTCATTTCGGAGATGTTAACAACAGAAGATACAGGTGTAGCTTAGCAATCTAACCTAGACTGAATTTATATTTGGTTGAACTTTTTGAAGAAAGCATGGTCCAAACGTAAACAGACACAGAAAAGACCAAACTGAGACAGCTACTCCTATTTATAAACCACCACTCAAAAAATTTAAGTTTCTATTACTCTACCTTTCCGTCTTACAGGAGTCAGATGCTATATATAAATATAAAACATACACTGCATAAATACTAGATTCAAGGACTCCTGAATGTTATCTGAAGAGACTCAATTACATTCCAAAAACCTACAGCGGAGTCTAGAGAAAACTGACAGTGTATGGCAGCAATGAGGGTTCCAATAATATTAAGCACTATCAAATACTGACATATCTAAGAAACAGTATTGTTTTGGAAGCGCCCTGTGAGCCATACACAGTTTATCAAAACTGGGCTGCACTCTACTCCTTTTGTGTGTTTTTTCAGCATGAAAGCTGCAGACCAGATGCACCTCTCAGTGGACGTGCCTGCTCCCAGCCACCCCATTTCCTGGGGGCCCAGGGCTCTCCCCTCTCATGGCTATCCCACCTGAAGCTTCCTTCTCTCTTGGCCACGAGGAGGCCTCAGGAAAAAGGGGGCAGGCAAAGCTCCACGATTTGTTCCCACGAAGGCATCTTTACTTTAGAAACAGTTACAAGACCTACAGAGGGAGCAGACTGACTGTTATGTACAAACAGGAGAACCCTTCAAAGCAGCTCTGAATCTCCAGCACGTTCACAAAGAGACAGTTGTGCAGCAGATCCACCCACGCGATAGGGAAGGAACTGCTACTGCGCTGCATGCCAGCCGTAGGGTACTTCTGAGGATTAGGAACCGGTAACAACTTTGGAAAAGTTTGTAAGTCAAACCTTGCAAAATGAAGTCAGGTCACCGTACCCTTTCAAAATATGAAACAATTCAGTGACAGAATGGGGACACGGCAGGAAGAACAAATCAGAAAAAACAATTATTCTCTTCAAAGCTCCACCATCTACAACTTTCATTAGAAATAGGAAATGGAGCAATTCTTGTGGAAGACAAGGGAGCTCTAGTCCAGAACAAAACTTATTTTGTTTTAAACTTAAACCATTAAGACTTTCAACCACCAATTCAGGATCTCCAAAGAACCAATGAAACAAATAATATCCAAATGCAGTACCTAAAATTGGAGAGGCAGTGCCTTCTGGTGGAGAGCTTTTCACAATGTTCGGAAAAACATGTTTGCTTTCTAACATTGTTCCAAAGTCCTCATCTGGAAATTTAAATTCTATTACACATACTGTGTATTTAAATTTTGCATTAACTGTCTCAAAGAAAGCCTGTTAATTCTAGAATATTTAATTAGAAAAGAGTTTAAAAAGAAAAAAAAAAAAACAGACTTAATTATTCAACCAGACTCTTCCTAGTTTCTCATGACAGGAATCTCCTATTGAAGACAAGTGCATCTTCTTGTCAAAACATGTATATAAATATCATTTTCAAACATTATCATTTTCAATCTGCTGAATTCAAAAGGTATAAGAGAATATTTCACAATAGTGCTCTCAATTTAATACAGCAATTTAAATAGACAATGTTAGTTTCCTTAGCTTGTTCCATCAAAGGGAAAAAGTCTTTTCTTTATGCAGGTATTTATTAGTATAAAACCTATCAAATTTGGGAAAGAAAAGCTTCTCTTTAAAACAGACTCTCACAACATAACACACCCTTATTCAAGTTATCACAACGGTTTCACTAATATAAATAATAGCAAATGCAATATAGAAGTCTCCAAAATCTGAGACACATCCCCCTGAATTTTTGCCTAACAGGTATGAAGACTATAGCCCTAGAGAGCAGAGATTCCCAACTCCTCCCTCTCCCCAGCAATAAATAGTACCATGCAACATCCATCGCTGGCCAGTTATCAGTAAGGCTGTACCTCACACTGATTGATTCATGCATGGAAAAAGGAAAACCTTTGCTGTGGAAATGAACTGCTATTGTGGATTGTTAATGAGGCGTATGGACTGAGAAACGCTGCAGAACACATTCAGCTTTAGTTTGCAAAGCTCTCTGCTGGACAGGTAAATACAGTTATAAGCAGGTAAGACCTATCCTAAGAACCTCTAACGACTGGATCTTGAAAATAGATACACTTGTTTCTGCAATTACTTGAACTGGTTACGATGTCAGTTCCCAATAGTTCTTACACTAATTTTTCAAGACTCTTATTCACTACTTATTCCCATTCAAAATTTAGTCTTGTTATACCTAAATAAACCTGTTATCACAATGCTGCTCTTACGACTAAGCTGCATTCTAAGAGAAATAAAAAAGCCTATTCCTGTTTAAGTGTTTGTCAGACAGTAATTTAACAAACTTTTTCCTCACCTCCCATATCTATCACTTCCTCACTCGACCTCCACTTTCAAACTTTCAATGGACAGAAAGTTCCTCACATACTCAAACCGCTTGCATAAACCTTTCTTAAAAGAAAAAAAAAAAAAAGAGAGAGAAAGGGAAACTATGAATATTTTCTCCTCCAAATAATTCATATCAAGTAAAAAGACTATAATCTATATGGTATAGACAATAACCTCTCTTCTTCATTAAGCAGTAGGAAAAAAACTCTTGGATTTAAATGTCTTTGTTGGAACAGGAAATACAAATGAAACAAGTAAAACACCGCACAAAGTAAGAGGCTAGAAAAACGCCTAGTCATCTAAAGAGAAGCAGGTAATACTATGCCACCTAGCATTAATGCCCAGAGTACTAAGAATGGCCTATCACATTTGAAAATAGATAGTATGCTATTTAAAAAAAAAAAAAAACCTTCATTGATAGATAAATTAGAACACTGTCAATCAAACTTGAGACATATCTAGATAAAAAGCCCTTTATTTATATTTAATGGAATAAATGAGTATTTCTGCATTTGGCACAGCAATCAAATGCAAGTTTCCCGTTAATTGTGTTGTTCTCAGCACTGCTTACTTCCACAGAGCTACTGAAAGACAACTATTACAAGAACAGATATCATGCATGTCATAGGAGCAAGTGACTTGTAGTGAGGTACCAGCCAAGAAAGCAATCCAATTATTCTTAGCTTCAATTGTTCTAGATGCAATAAAACCCCCAACCTCAGAGTTCATCGCTATTTAACAATTTTCAGATACATGTGTTAACTCTATTTACAGTTTTTAGCTTTGAATAGTCCAAAAGAAATTAACACAACAGCTACTTTACCAGTATACTTCATTTCTGCATTTCATGATTTTTGATATCTTTTTCTGCTCTGCTAGGGATGCAAAAAAACATTTTTTTTAAGACTTTTCTTGAAATAATTCAGTGCGTGTCATATAAACAATGATTTATCAGAATTTGAACGTGAATTAAGTTAGAATATTTGAACTGACATAATTTATTTAAATCCACATTAGCCAAGTTTTTAAACAAGGAACTTCCACAGTTCTAAAAATAACATATAAGCAGGTCAGTAGCAGGCATCAGTGCAGACAATGTTCTTCATATACTTTCAATAATCCAATTTCTTTCAAAGCAGCCTGTTGCTTCCACATGTGTGTCCTGCCCTCCCATTCTGGAAGCTCTTTAGCACAAAGGGAAAACTTCTCATATACCAGATGGGGCTCAGCAGCATCCACCCAGTGAAGTCAAGAGTCAGTATCTCAAATAGCAAACACAAGACAAAAGACTGGGTGGGGAAAGGCCACGGAAAACCTTAAAGCAAAGACAAGCAGTCTAAAGTCCAACTCAGTAGAGAACAGTGAGCTAACAAAAGGATTTCTGGAAATTGGTAATAAGATCCTAGTAACGGGGAAAGAACAACCTAGCAACACTTCAGATGGGTGTTTGTGGGGTACCACTTACAAGAAAGCTTACTCTAGTAAACAGGAACTACTGTTTACTGGAACTGCTTGGGGTCATAGCTAGTGCCGACACTCAGCTTGGTCCACGTGAGCCAGCCTAAGTCTAGAAGCAAGCATAAAGGAATACAGTCACACAAACTCAAGCCTAGGAACACAGGCATCCACGTGGCCTTGTGCTGCAATGGGGCTTTACTGGTGTGAATTTGGTACATCTTTTCATTCTACACCCTTTCTCTGTGTTTTGATTGCCAGCTTTACATATGTACTCGATTATTCAGATTTTTCTCATATTGGGGCTGTTAAAACACAGCGCATTGTCAATTTTTTAAGTGGCAGCTTATTCTAGAAAGCATACAGAGGAGGATTCTGGTAAGGAAAACTTTGCTGGTATAGCTTTTTTGGTGGACCGTAGTCACAAAGTAGTCTTCATTGTGTGCTTTATACCGTCAAGGGAATTTTGTTAGTAATATAGTCACGACTACACTAGGGATTACTTTTGGAACAATCACAGCGTTAAGAAAATTACAAACTGTGAGGGCCAAAGTTTTGAGCACAGATTTGATCTGACGCATAGTCTGGACGCAAGAACTTAGGAGATATGTATCAGAGATGACATAAGCATCCTATACAGTGACTAAGAAAAGATGTGGGAGGAAAGTTTGTGAGTGGAGACAGTCCTGTTTTACCTGCATTACGATACTGGACTGAAGTTCACTGCTCAGCCATAGGATGGCAGCAGAGTCCTGCAGCCCGTGCAGTAGGAGGCTCTCCGAAAATTTTCTTTCTCCCTCAATTCTATTAAAGTGCAAGAGAAACTAGTAACTTCTAAGACTCTTCGATTTATAAATCGTTACGATAGTACTACTGGAATGTCTTCTAGGTTCCCCAAACATTGTGCTAAAGCATTGCCATAACAGTAACTGGCTCTTCCACACTGTACGCTCTTAGTGAAGTTGAGAACACTTCTCTTCAAAAAGTCAACCTTAAATGCACAAAAAAATCCACATGTATTGGGACTGCCAAGAACTTTGGTATGGCTCAGCAAAATACAAATTTGAGTTAACTGTTGCATTTTGAGACTAGAAGTAGCTAAGTATAGCCTTTCCATCCTCCCCTATAATCTAATCAAACCCCCCATGTAAGAATGCTTTTTCCTCTTTAAAACTGCTAGATTTTATTTTATTTTTTTAAACCAATAGCCTGATGATCAAATCCCAGACAGTTTTAATCAGTAAGTATAACCTCCAACCAGCATGCTGTACGCACCACCCTCTTGGGGAAGCAATATTTAACATCAGAAAGGAGATCAGCTTTACAGATACATCTGAATGCTCACATGCCAAACAGATTACACTACTCTCTAAAGTGAATCCAAGGAAGCTACTAGACAGCGTTTACAAGGTTTAGACTCTCCAGTACAGCTAGCCACCAGCCATGAACAAAAGCAGCCAGCCAGGATCAGTCTAAATTAACAACTCAGCTGAAAAGGAATGCATGTTGCTAAGATCTTTGCCACTGAAGGAAATTTATTTTGGTGAAATTCAATATGAATAAAAATAAATAAATAAAACTGAAAAGAATCAAAAAGACATGAAAAGAAATGAGCCTCCAGGGAACAATACTGAAGCGATAACTGCTTGCCAGTGCCAGATTCTTTCCTGCCACAGCTATGCCAGGAAAGAAGGTTAATTTATACAACATTCCTGAAGTCACAGGGGAAGAATGGCTATACTGAGAGACAATTAGACATACCAGGATCATGGTCTGAGGCTCACAAGAAGCAAGGGGGGGGGGGAGGGGGAACACCCAAGGAAACCTATTGGAAGAAAAGCACCGTACGGAATGGGACCTGGCTGGATACTGAGAGAAAGTGGATATGTTTGTCTTTCCAGTGATTTCTGTCATTATTTTAAAGCTCTGATTCTGTACAAAATTAGCTTTTTAAGAATTAGCCTTTTTAAATTAAATAACCAATATCTCGTTACTTTAAGGTATTTGCCATCAATTCACCTGAAGTTCTGTTAGCAAAACGAAAAGTTCTTTTAAAGCCTAATAGAGTCTATTTGAATTAGAGTTGTAATCACAATTTCAAAGTAACTTTTAGTCAGCTCATTCTTGAAACACACACACACACACACACGCACACAAAGGTTCTAGAGAGCTACCCTAAAGATGCAAGAGCCAGTAGAAAAGGAAAAAGAATATGGGGATGCACAAAGACTTACACTTCTGTTCCATGTCTCTCATCTCTTCTGGAGGGATTTTCAGCTTGTCAATATGTTCCTGCAAGACACTGGCCCACTTCTGTAAAGACTCCATAACAGTCCAAGGTCTAGACATATCTGCAACAAAGACTACAATGGTGTCTTGCAGGGATTCTGCAGAAACTGCAAACTTCAACAGCCCTTTATGGTATAGGTCTCCATCCAGAATCCAAACATTACAGCGAGTATGATCTGAAAAGAACAGGTACAGTTGTAACTCAAAAGATGCCAGCTCTTTGCTTTGCTAGTCTACGAGTAAAGAAGAGTATATTACAGTGTTAAAGGAAAGACTGGAGCCTGGCTACCAGCAGGTCTTGCCTGTTTGCTTCTAACATGGATACAGGTGCAAATGCCCAAATTACTTTGTAGGTGCCTCCATCTAACAGAATTTCTCTTCAGTTCAGGATCTTTTAGTTTAAAAGATAACTTCTCTTCCTCGGTTTTTACCAAGAAGAGCAGGCACAACAGTTTCCAGATATTGCACAGCATTGCTGAGTTTGAAATATGTACGCTCCAAGAAAATCAAAGATGCACGTTACACACACGTAACTCCAAATTCAAAAGGGGATAATTATAGCTGAGGCCAGCGGGGAAGCCTTAGGTGTCACACAGAAACATAAGCTGTTTTAACATACTAAAGACATCTCACAACAGAAGTAATCTGCAAACAAGATACAAGTAATAAGCAGCTTAGGTTTCTGGGACAGGAGTAGGAGGGGTAAACGTAGGATAAACTTACAACCTACCAAACTTAATGACTGTGCTTTAAGCTGTTCTATCTGCTCTTAAGTCATGCTGATTTAACATTGGCTTCTACCTGTAGTCTCTTTAGAGAACGAGTACTGGATAGAAGATTTTGTATTTCAGTTTTTGTGTTTCTTCCCTCCATTGTTTTGATAGTGACTTGACAGTTTTTGTTGAAACGCAAAAAAGAAATCGGCTGGGACGGACAGCAGACATGAACAAAATTTATCCCAAACATGAACTCTGGCAAGAATAAAACAAACTGAAAGTGGGCTATCAACAGTGGGTCTCCACACGTATTACATGCAAGATAGATGAATTTTGAAATATAAGCACTAGATCAGCAAACTGATCATTACAGACACCAGATTTTCAAAATTGCTACTTTATAATTACTCTGGTACACTCTATTTCCCTTCCCTGTACTCTAAATCATTCAACTTCATAAAATAAAACCAGTCATTGTGGCTGTGAGCACTTCACTCGAAGAAGGAATCCATCAAGATCACAACCACTACCATATTTGCTCTAGAAAAAGACAAAAACTTGACTAAGGAAACCGAAAGGAGAAAAGAGTAGAGACAGACATATTGCCCTTCTAATCAGGTCTTAAGTAAGATTACTGAACAGTCCAAATTAAAGGCAGATGACACTCTAGATGCAGTATATGGGCAGTCTTACTTCAGCATTTTTATTATGCTCCTACTGTCATTCAAACACTAGTCATCACACAAATAGGCCAACAGCTATGCTTTTAATTTAATTAAAGATCTTTTCCCTTCCAACTGTGCACCTCAGAACTACAATTTGCAGTTATATATAAACAGTTACAATAGTATGTTGTGGTACTTAAGGAACGCTCCTTTGCATATTCATCACTTAAGTTCGTCCCCTTCTCTCCCCCCACAAACTTCAGGAAACCATCACAATGATATCACCAAGGAGTCTCACAGCACTGCATGTATGAATCTAAAGCTACAGGAAGGCCAAGAAAAGGTTTAAAAGCTGAGGGAAAAATCTTGTAAAAGTTTGGAAAAGCAGAAAGGTTAAGTTCAGACATAACGTGAACACAGACACAACAACAACAAATGAAACATCTATGCAAGGCTCTCTTATCCCCTGCGTCCCAGAAGGATCCTTTGTGTATTACCGGGAAAAATCCACCAGTCAATAAGAACTCCCATGGGCTCTGTATGGGTTTAAGGTTATTAACAGATGTTTGATAGCACGAATGCCTTCCTGAAGCAAACATTAAAGTTTTAAACACATAACTTAGGTCTATGAAAATTTACAACTCTCATTAGCACTTCCACAGATTCTCTTGTGGTAAGCACTTCCATCATAAAGAAGATGTCAGACCTTAGTGGATAACAAAAATGAATGAATAGTCTAGTTCACTGGGTATGAGTCATTTTTTTAAGCCTACAACTAAAGGTGACAGAGTTTTGGTTTGCTAAATACCTTTGTCTTACTTAAGGATTCTGTTTCTACTTACCCTCTAGAACATGGAGCCAGAAACTACCATCTAGATGAAATCAATCTGACAGGAAGAATGGATGCCTAACATTCACACAGGTACAGGACATTATCTTTTAAAAGATAACATGGTATGAAAATGAAAAGTTTTCCTCCTTTTTTACAGTAAAAGGAAGACTATCAGGTATGGCCTGTGATTTACATCTACTGTGAATTTAAAGATATACTCAAAAATACAGTAGTGTTTGTTTAAACCTCTGGCAGGGACTTGATGGCAAATTCAACTTTGTCAGCAGCACATCAAGCTCCCAATTAGTCATATGACGTGACCGTTAACTCCACCTTTTATAGTGGCTATTACATGAGATGATAAAACAGAGTAAATAATTATCAGATCCTGTTGAAAAATAGGTGCTACTTATTAAAGAGTTACAATAACTGATATAATACTATTTCTAAATTCTGTCAATATTTCATTAACCCTTTAGCGACAGAAATTGTTTTCCATCTTTGATGAATTTTACTGTAGATAGTTGATTCCATGAACTGTAACTACATATCCTGCATTTATTCAGAATGTGTCAAAGTTGATTAGATATATTTAAAACAGATATTCTTGATCCAAGCTGTGAAAAGAAGTAGAACAGGGAAAAATCATTTGCAAGAAAACTACTTCAAATTTGCTGACAAAAAAAAAACAAACAAGTATTCCATTAGTGTACCAGCCCTTCTTGGCTCATGCTGGAACAACCCGTTCAACCGGAATATGCACATGATATGACTGAGGCCAGTTCCAAACCTGAGGCAAAAAAACAAGATTACTTGATTTTTTTTTTCCTACAAGTAGCGCAAAAATAGAATGGCTCCACTTCACCTGCACATTTGCAGCACCACCTGTATTGCATTTGTGATCTGATGCAGTTCAACTGAAAATTCTCTGTAGTGTTCATAACTGTCTGCTAACCTGCACAGTACTCTACGAAATGAGTCACCTACCGGTCGATGTAGAATGTTTCACTGTCTTGCTGTACATCCTCACTTTAACTCTGCCCCATTGCTGCAAGAGATGCTGAAACCTACACTACAAATACAGATCTTACAACACAATTATGCAGAACTCTTCTTCCACATCCCACAAATTAAGACTCTCAGCTCTCAAAAGGTGACTAGCCAGCACCAGCACAAAACACCTCCTCATCACAAAAAAAGGTAAAAAATTCCATCTTACTTACCTAAAAATTCCCTAAAAATTTAACTAACGCAGGACTCGGGCCTGAGCTCCAAGGTCACTTAATATTTTGAGTTAAATTTACAGCTAGCGCTATAAATGCTTTCATTCAGATGAGCTAAGGCATCATGTATGTAGAAGCCGCCATACGCTCCACGGATATTGCACCTGAGGCTAATGATCTAGGAGAATCCTCTCTGTCTCTCTCTCTGGATAGCTTGTAAGGCATCTAGGGACCAAAGTAGCACATGTTACATTGAATGACTGATGTCTGACAGAAACAGAACTGAACCAGCTAATCACCAAGTTAATGGTTACATAAGCATCTTGTCATCCAAGCTAGGTATCAGCCACTACCAAGAAACAGGCAGATGACAGTGAAAACACAAAAGTTACAGGACACCTGTATCAGTCATAGAGGTCCTTCCAACCTAAAAAAAAAAAAAAAAAAAAAGGTATTTTCTAGGCATTTGCTTCACCTTCCCAGAAAAGAAAGAATAGTTTGATCACTGATCTGGTCTCTGGTCTAACAGGGAAAAACCAAGAGTAACTGTAAATTAAGTTATGTATCTAGCAATCTAGAGTAATTCTACCCCAAATGTAGGGAGCATGATTCAGCAATCCCCCAAAGAGAATGAGGAAAGGGGTGTGGAGGGGAGGCTAGGGGAAGAAATAAGAAGCAAGACAGAAGATGATTTCCCTTAAGATTTTCATAGGGAGGTGGATAATGACTCAGCACTATGAACAAAATATTTTTTCCTAGAAACAAAAAACTGTTCTGAAATGAAAAGGACAAAAGTAAAGACAGTAAAAACCACAGAATGAAGATAAAAAGACCCTTTCACTCCACTATGATGTTTCAGCTACTAGTGTTGATTTGACAGTAAGCTCCTGAAGGCCCACCTTTAGATTCTTGGCGGCTTCCTACAACTGTGGGTCAGTTAAAAGGCTTTGTTCCCAAATTTGTTGTACAAATCTGTACCTGGGCATAAATATACATAAAGTATGCATTAAGAGTTTAAATAAAAAAACCAAAACAAGTCCTTTAGAAGGAAGGGTGTCATCCTTGCCTGCTGGGAGGTCCTGACCCACTTTGCCATTTATTTTGCTTGCTGATGACACTAATGAGACAGAAAGGAAAAAGGCAGGTATTATTAGATCCTAACACGTCCATTAAAGGGATGCATGAAGACCTGAATTTTCAAGCTGGGTTTGCTAGTCAAAAAGGTCTCTTTTTCCCTGCTGCTGCTGCTGCCAGAGCTCTGATGACAAGTTTTCCCTAATCACCTCAAGTACTTACCACTTTCACATACTCAGAAATAGTCCCAAAATAGTTCTAAAGTAGGGAGATACTTAAAGTTTGATAGACGGCACCAGGAAGAACGTCAAACTAAACACGCCAGCTTATAATTCCATCTCCTTTGGTATTGCCAAAAAGCCTGATGTCACAGGCCGTCTTGGCACCCATAACGGTAGGGTTTTTTCCATCGAAATATGTATGCCGTACTGAAGATTGTCGATGGTGAGAAAGCACTTACACTAAGATCCTCAAGAAGCCAAGAACGGCCTCAGCACTGAGAATTCCAGCACAGAAGCTTTTCTGAGAACTACAAGGTTAGGTGGCCACTGAAGACACAAATAACGTACTCATCCCTTAGTTGTGCCTAACTTAGCATCCAAAGACAGTTTACTATCACGTGAGCACAGGACCAATCTCCGTAACAACCAGTCACATGTTTCTTAAATCGCCCATGCAAGCCTGCAGTACATTTCCATTGCCAAAGCACCGTTACAGGATATAGTTCACCTATTTGCAAGACCAAGGATGAACTGCCACCATTGCTTCCCTCTTCCAAGCTGAAAACTCAGAAAACGATCAGTAGCACGATTCTCATTTTATAAAGAGGAAAAGTAACACACACAGAGATCTGTCAGTTTGTCCAAAACCAGACAGCCAGAGGCAGACTTAGGAGCAAAGATAACTAGCTCATTCCCCATCTCTTCCTGTCCCTACCCTAACAATAGTAGTACTCTGATCCCTATACCCTGCCACCTCCCTGCTGTTAAATGGTGTCTTGTCCCCCACATACTGTGGGATAGCAATCAACCACACAGAAAGACAGTGGGGCAAAGAGAAGTTTCTCCAGTTTGAGAAAAAGAAATACTGATTCTGCAGTCTTAGGCTCTGTTCTTCACTCATTCAGCTATGACTAATAAAATGTCTCCGTTATACTTAACAAACATAACTTTTAGGTAAGTCCCCTCTGCAAGAAACCTCTAAAAACCCAAACCCTGAAATATATATTTAGAATTAAGTTCTCATGGATGCGTCACTTTACAGCTGTAAGTACGTGGACTTGATGGTAACTGATCTGCTAGTCAGTCAACATCAGCAAAAAATATCTGTCCTGAAAGTAAACGGATCCCAAGAGAGCTGCTCGAGTGTACTTTTTCTTCATATGCAGGTCAAGCTGTGAGAAGGGCAATAGGGAGAAAGCAGTCTGAGTGTAAAACGGATTTCACTTGTAAAAAACTCATATAGCTCATAAAACATACACAAAAAGCCAATGCTGGAACCACCTACTTGGATATAATCCAAAATACACTGATGACACCACAATTTTAAAAAAGCTACTTAGTTACAGCAGAAAGATTACACATAAAATGAACTTACCATCTCTGTCTTCATCATGAATATTTAGATATAAATATTCCAGCCCTCTTCCTTTCTTGCCATGCTCTGCTCCCTGTATTTTAGTCATAAGTGTGGTTTTACCTGAACCATCATCACCTGCCAGTAAGTTTTTACAGGAAAAAAAGACACATTCAGAATTCATTTTATTTTTGTAGAAAAGGTTTTAAAAACATGCTTACAAAAAGTATTCTTGTCTATTTCTGAATCACAACTATTTGTTATTTTCCAGCTGAATCTGACAGTTCATACCAAGACAAACATAACGCAGTACTCCATTGTTCAGTTTTACATCCCATTTATTTAAACTATATTAAGAATCCAACAGCAGCATAAAGCAGAAAGAAAGTAAATCTGCCAGCCTCAGAATAAGAATACCATATCCCTTATTACATAACCTAATTTTAACAAATTGATGCGTCAGTTTGTTCACTTTGTCTCTGACTATGCAAAGGCAAAGGCATACATGAAATCTAGAACAAAAGAGATGATAAAAAGAAAAACAGCCATATGGATTTGTTTTTTTTAGTTTGACTGAAAAGAATATTACAACACCAAATACTTTTCCTTGAGTTCAGGCAGGAGAACAACCCTTTGGTATTCTAAAACGATCCAGAGAGTATGTATTTGATGTAATTCACAAAAAGCAGAAATAAAGAATGTCTGAATATCCCGAAGACAAACCATAGAAAAATACATAATCTTTTACCTAACAAGAAGGCTCATCATTTAACTCAATAAACCATGCCTACATGTGTCAGTACTACATGACAACAATATCAGAATATATGTTTGTCTATACATACAACTAAATTCATTTTTTAAAGTGATTTTAATACCAATATTTAGTTGTACAATCCATACTCAAATCCTCAGGTTAACTGCTTTTTTTGGTTTGTCTTGTACTTATACGGCTAAGTTAAGCTGAAACGTGACAGTCAACTCAGCACCCAGACAGACTTTTAAACAAAATAAACTCTCTCCGTTACTTAAGGTAATACTAGGGTTTTCTCGTTTTAAACACACAAATGCATTTTGCTTCTACAAGAAGAAGGAAAAAAAAAAACCCTACTGCTTGTATATGCTACTTACCAAAAACAAGAATATTTTTGCCCGATGGCAATTTAGATCTTGACCGGGTAGAAACTTCACTCAGTATGGAGGACCTAGAAGAGGAGCAGCATCGTTACCCGGCTGGTTGCAAGACGCCCGCCGGCAGGCCGAGGCGGCCGGCCTGACAGCATCGGCGAGCTCGGCGCATCCGCGCACACCAACGCGATTACGTCCCTTCTACGTACAAACAAGACATGGCACTATAGCTATAGAGTCAGGTCCGTTTTAAAAGACCACCTCTGCAGAAGTATCTATCTCACTCACAGCGGAAAGTTTTTACAACATCTAAAAGCTCACGCAGGAACATTTTTTCTCCCTTAATAACGGGCAAGGTTACAGCAAAATAAACCTTACTTCTCAGCTGATGACTAAGTCTTCCCACAATCCACTACCGCACCTTACAAACGCGTTTGTCTCCCGTTGCCATTAACGAAACAAACAGGCTACTGGCAGATAAGCGGCCGGACCGCCGCAGACCGGCTCTCCCGCAGGCGTCC